TGCCCATATCCGAACATACTTCCTGGAACTTCAACACAAATACACACGTCCTGAGTTCTTTACAGACGCCTCCAAGTCTAACTCCTCTGTGTCCTACACTGCTGTCGGCCCATCCTTTTCGGATGCTGGCCCTCTACATCCAGGCACAAGTATCTTCACAGCGGAAGCCTATGCGATACTTGTGGCAGCTAAACACATCAAGCAATTACAAATACAAAAAGCAGTAATTTATACAGACTCCCTCAGTGTAGTAACGGCTCTGCACACTCTTAAAAAACACAAAAACCCAGTCCTTGTCTCACTTTACTCCATTTTATGCACACTCTACACACTCAAACAACATGTTGTAGTGTGCTGGGTGCCAGGGCACCGTGAGATTCAAGGCAACGTGAGGGCGGATCAGCTCGCTGCATCCGTCCACAAAAGCACTGCCCCTACACCCATATCAATCCCGGCCCTTGATCTTAAGCCGTCTCTCAAACGAAACCTCAGAGTATACTGGCAGAGCAAGTGGGATACACACACACAAAACAAACTACACGTTATTAAGCCACACCTTGGTCATTGGCTGCCCGTATCGAAATCGCGTCATACAGAGGTAATACTAACGAGACTCAGGATAGGACACACATACACGACACACACACACCTTTTGTCCGGTGGCGATCCACCATTGTGTGACAGATGTGGTGAAGTATTGACAGTGCTTCACATTTTGAGTGCAAACAATTGGACACTGTAAGAAAACAACACTTTCCATTACCCTACCGACAACATATACCTTTACACCCTGCAATGTTCGTCGGTAGGGAACCGCTTTTTAGTCACAAATCATTGTTAGCGTTTTTTTAAAGAAATTCATAGTTTTCATATCATATACCCGGGCATCCCGTAGCATGACCTCTCCAGAGAGGTTTTTGCTGCGGTGGTTACACAAGAAAGCACTTGCCTCACGGCCCTTGGACGCAAGGGTATGAACGAGTGAGGCACTTGTGCTAATGCCATACATATCCACCATCGTCTTTTATTGTCACAAACTTTTGTCATCTATTCACACCACACACACCTTTCACGACATGGTCATGATTTTATTACTTGTATGTTTTTACCCGCCTTACCGCGAGGAATTTTATGGCATTTATACAGCCGCTTATCACAATCATTGTCCATGTTTTTAGTAAGATGAACTGGCGCTCTTTGGCCGTGAAATGGCCCTTGCGCCATAAAACATCAAACATCATCATGAACTGCAGCTATCGGAGGAGTCGCAATCGGGTCTGCGGAATGGATGGTCATTTTTCTGTTGCATTCCTTGCATCATCCTCGGTTCCTAAGAAAATATGACCAGTAAATAACTTCAGAACGACTGCTTCTTCCTCTTTGTTTTCGTATTGGGAATACAAGAGGCACGGACTTACCGTAAAGCTTAATCACTTGAGCGTGATAGTGGCCGCAGTGTGTGTTATCCTTCCAGAACACCCGGTACCACTTGTGAGGATCAAAATTGTCTGTATACTTCGGATTGATGTACTTACATGCACTTACCGGAACTATTATTTTTTAATTATCATCGCAAAACCAAACATCTTGGAGAATCGCGAGTGTACATGCACGATACTGAGCAATTAAGAGACGCAACAATGTTCACATGCACTACACACGCACCAAGGCCGCCACGAACTTGCTATTGATGACGATGGCAGTGTCATTTGTGGATCTCCCAAGTAGTTTATGCAACCAGGAGTCCACGACTTTTTCCTCAACACAACGCAATTTAGTTTTTGAAAACAAAAATATTTATTTGCAAAACATTTACTTCATGTTTTTACAACCTTAGAGGGTAGTTTTTTTAGAGCTCACAGCAAATAATATATAAACAATGAATGCAATTACTGTAAAATGATGACGCTGTGCATAGCCTCCGAGATGGCAAACGCGCAATGACGGGCGCGCAGCGGCAATTTCAGAGGTCATGCGCTGTGTCGCCATATTCGCGTTGGCTAGGCTAGTTGGCGTTAGCCGCCGCCCAATTTAAAGGGTACAGCCACATCAATCCATTTATCCATTTATCTATCACATTAATATGGCTACAATCATCTAGCCATAATGGCAGCCAGCGACACCGTGGTCAGCGACCACCACCATGGCGACGACCACCTTCCTCCGTGGCGACCACAGTACAATACACCTTCACCACGCGAGGTGTTCTGTAGAGTCACTACCTCGCGCCGTGATCTCATGGCACATGTTATAGTTTACGACAAAATCCGCGCCGCGTGCTTAACATTCAAGGCACAGCAAGCAGGTTGTGAATGTGAATTCCTTGGTCGATGTAATCGATCTTTACGCGTTCACTTATTATCAGTCCCGCAGCCTCACTTTGCGTGGACACCATCAAGCGCGCTACTTGAAGTTTGTGTCAAGTTCGACGAGAGATGGATTCAACTCAACCCCAGCCTCGATCAAAAAGAAGAAAAAAAAACGCTATTTGGAGCCTAGATCGCAATATGTAGTACCTCGGACAAGGAGCGGTGGAGGCGCAGTCGGCCAACCAGCTACAGTCAGCAAGAGCATTCCTCAGTCTTTAGCTAGTAATTGATGTTCTGGAGTAGCGGCCTTCGATACGTGAAGTCTGAGGGATGCGCATGGTGACAGCAATGAAAATCCTGATCCCGACGACACTTACGGCTTCGAGGAAAACTCGCTCAGCGATTCCGACCGGACTGCAGATGCGGCTCGCGACAATGTTGGCATGAGCGACTCTTTTTAAATGCAACAATGACATGTATTTTACACTGGTGCATGTCAATAAACTGCCAGGCTTTGTGTGTGTGCTCATGTGTGTGAGGCTTACATCAAAACTATTCAAGAACCCATCTCACATTGGTATTTGCTCAGAAACAGAGAAAAAAAGTTGTGCTTGAAGGATGTGGCCAGTGTGTTTGCACATGAAAGTTGGATGTGTTTGCTATGTTGCTGATGTACCAAACTTGTTTAAAACTTGTGACATATATAGCCAGTCTAATATGAGTTTAGCAAGGTAGGATAACTAAATGTTGGCTCGATCCTTTCTATTGTTGTTCTCTTCACAACTGAACTTTTCTCATGGTAGGCAGTTTCTTGTGTGTGTGTGTGTGTGTGTGTGCGCGTGTGTGTGTGTGTGTGTGTGTGTGTGTGCGTGCGTGCGTGCGCACGTACATGTGTGTGTGTGTGTTTTGCAGTCAAATGCTTTAGCCTTAATTAGTACATGGTTTTTTATTTATCAATCTTGTGACGATTACAGGCAAGTAATATAGCAGGTCTGTGCCACCGCTTGGGCTTTGTGAAAAGACACACCTGTGAATAACAGATTCTGCTATCAACATATCAGTCAAATCTTGCAGCTGCAAGTGACTTTTTTCATATACATGACTGTGCTCACTTCGAATTTTCGGATGCCTGTATGTGGTGTAAAACAACTGAAAGCATACTATTGGCCTATAGCCAAAATAAATCAAGAGCAGCATTTTAATCGAATGTGCTTCTTGCCACAGTGTGCTGCCACATGCTGGCACTGCTGTCCAAAATATTCTAACATTGCATAGTCACACTCGCACATGGGAATGGCAACACGAAAAAGCTACTGTGTTTCTTCAAGCATGCTCTAGCTCATAATGTGTGCTTACATATCGCACTTCTTTACTGCCATTCCTCCCTGTAGTTTTCGGCACAGCTTGTTGGGACCGACGAGAAAAAAAAGAAAGCGGTTGAAGTGCGCAATAAACCCCTCAACTTGCTTTGAAATATTTCTGGCAGTGGATTTGCGAGGCATTAAATTTTGATGATGAGGTCAATTAATGATTACTCAAAAAAGCATTTCATTGTTTATTTAAATTATCTCATTCATTATGGAATATGACACTAATGTAGTGGTTCATCATTAAAGGCAAAGCACTATGTGGGAGAGACAGCTGGGATTGGCTTGTGTTGTGAAACGGAGAAACTGCAGCACCACCCGAGGCTTTCGAATACACGCCGTTTGGAAAAATTATTGTATCAGCAAGCTCATTCCACAGTAGTGGACTGATTATTAAGTTATCTCTCTTGGAATGTTTACTGGCCCTATAACTTAAAATTTAGAAATTATGTTAATATTGCTCTGTGATGAGAAGTTTTGTTTGTATTGTTTCAAGTTATGTTTATACTGTCATCTGATAAGCTTTGGATACTAGTATCTTGAAATTTCTAGACGTCATCTATCATTGTCAGCATTAACTGTGTTGCTATCTGGCACCTCCAATCCCATTTGTACACAGAATAAAGCGTTCATCTAGGCTGAAAGCTGCTTTGCATATTTAAAGCTCAGTTTGTCAATTATGCACCACCATGAAACATTGTACATTTTATTCTACGCATCCAAAAGCTGCCAGTTGCACTCTTTGAGTCATCATAATATTTCACACAATGGTCGTCAAGTGTTCAATAGAAAACACTGATACACTAATATACATGCAGAAATGACCAATGACATATATGTGGGCAGTGTGTTCAAAAAAAGAAGTACCGTTAAAATGACAGTAATGCATCTTGAAGATCCGATAAATGAACAAAAGAATAAAAACCTAAAGACTAATAAATACCATAGAAATGACCAATCAAGCTTATTCAAAAGCTGGTAGCACTGGTAAGACTGTGTATCAGTCTGATATGAGACTGGTAGCACAGATATGAATGTCTATAAGAACTGGTAAGACTTTGTATCAGTCTGGTACAAGACTGGTACAACTTATAGGAAACTGTATCAGACTGATTCAGACCTCTATCAGAATTTTTGCGATGGACATGTAAGGTTCATGGCAGGTATATAATAATAAGATTTTACTGCATACTCACTCAGCTCTTGTTGGCTGATGCGGCTGCTGCTGTAGCGAAAATTGCTCTAAATAACAGTGTAGTTGCTTAAGTTATTACAGAAGCCTTTGTTTAATTTGACTATTTACGTGATTTATTCACATTTCCAGAGGGTTTCCTGCAGCAGCGACGATGGCTGGTCAGTGGCATTGGCAGATTATATCCGCCATAATGATCAACAGCACCTAGAACTTGGGGACAAGCTGCTAAGATTTTTTGAAGAAGAAGTGCTGGCATGCCAGTCATTCATGGAATATTGTGATGTCATGGGTGAGCGCAATACACATTTCTTGGCAACACAGTACGCTCTATATTGGTTTAGCACATTGCACATTTGTCTGTGAAGGTACAGTGTTGTGGGGAAGTTTTTTGAACAACACAACATACAGCTCTAAGCAGGTAAAAGTTGTCCATCAGGATATACTTGGATACCCAGTCTTTAAGGGATTCACCTCATTGAGTTGCATGAACAGGTTGCTATGCTGGTTTAAACAGATGCAGTGCCCGTTAGGTGATACATTTACTCCTTAATTCTATAAACTCTTGGCAGTCTGAAACTTCTGCCCACTTTTTGGCCTCCCCGCATTGAAACTATTTTGCCACTGTTAAGCGCAGCAGGAAAAAAAAAAACTTGCAAGAAGACATGATACTTACTTTTGCTGTCTGTTCTTATGCCAAAGTCTCATTGCTATTTGAGTAAAGCACAGAGAGCTGTTTTTTTTTCCTTTTTTTTCCTTTCTCTTTTTGGTATTGGAGTCATTGCAAATTGTTCTGTCCTTGTTGCGTTCGCTTGTAAGCTTGTGGTATAACGAAGCTTTGTGTCGAGCGTTTCTTCACTGTCAAAACATGCCGGTAGACCCTGTTTCTTAGCGCGAACCCTCGCATCACCTACCAGCTGCTTGATCAGGTAGCACGATACCGCAGGTGTCGCTGCTTTTTTATCTCTGCCTTGCCTGTTTCATCTGCAGCTGAAAGGGGCAAAATCTGGGAATTGTTCATCTAGGCTCTCAAACTAAGAGCACATATTCTCATATCATCGTTGCCTTATGTAGCACCAGAGGTGCCGTCTGCAATGTCTTCTTCTTTGTGGCTGGCTTCACTTGAACTGCATAATTTCCTTCATTGCTGCAATTGTCATTATTTATACTATTATAGCTTCAGAATTATCCCATAAAAAGCACTCTCTGTGAAAGTGGCCTTACATTGAGCAAAAAGTGTGCCACTGTGAGTGCTCAAATGTCCCAAGGCTTTAAGCTGAAACAAGTGCTGCAACATAGTGAAAGAAAAAGGAAACACCAAGTGAAAGAAGTTAAACTTTTTTATTCCTCAAGATGTGGAACTTCTTGCATGGGGAGATACAACATACAACACCCTTGAGAAAGGGTGTTGCATACGACACCCTTGAGAAAGTTCACAATTAAACCACACAAAGTTTGCTGGGCAGTGCCCTACAGTGGTACACTACACCCATGTTGCATTGTCGGGGCCCTCAGGCAAATGGCCTGCAAAAGGTTGACATACTAAAGAGACCACTGGCAGCCATTTTTTTGTTGGACTTTCATTCTGATAGGAGATATGACAGAAAAATGTTGCAGGGCCCCTTCAAGCTAAATCATCTGCCTAACTAGATGTGTATGTGTTGCCCTTTGTATTCATAGAATACCCAGTATTGGTTCATCACCTTATGTTCTTTGTCAAGGCATTAGTTGAATGTCGCATTATGCTGGCTCTACTCACATTGTAGCAAAGGAATAAGTATGGTAGTGCATCTGCATGATCACTAGCACAAGTCATGCACAAGGGCACATCTTTGCACAGCTGCTTCATTCGAACTCTCAAAGAAACTGTTTTCCTTGACACATAATGGACATTTTTCAGAACTACTGTGCATATACAAGACTGTCTCTTTTTTAACAAAGTACTATATACATATACATATGTCATGAACTAGCACCACAATCTCATTTCATGGCTTTTCTACCATTGAACCCGCGCAGAGCCTTCTATGCTGCAGATATGTAGCATTGTTTGTAAAAAAATATTTTAGGACACCATACTGTCCCTGCTCTCTCTTTTCCCCCCTCTCTCTTTTTTTTCCACGGTTGTAGATGACAAAATTTCCACGGAATGAATAAGTTTGGCAATGGTAAAGGCAATACAGTAGAATAGCAATAGTACAAACGTGTAATGAAGAGCAATTTTGCTGCAAAATACCTTTCTCTCACGATTGCAAAGCATTTTTATCATCATTTATTTTCCCTTAAGGGCCCCTGACGGGGTATTACATAACCCCTTATGTAATATGTTATGTTATCCCCCCCCCCCCCCCTTAGTATCCCTGGTGGAAGTTATGATGTAGGTGGCATGGAATGAGTTGTGTGGGTCAGTGGTTGTCAGAGTAATACAGTGTGCTTACTGAAACTGCGAGGGTGGGGAAAGCAGTGAGCAAGGCTAACAAAAAGCTGTCTGTATGTATAGAAAGAAGCATTAGGCTGATAATTTTTCACTTTGTCTTTGTTAGCTTCTAGCGGCTGCCTTAGCTATGTTAGAATTTGGTATTTATTGGCATTGTTACATTTTTAGCCGTGAAAGTGAACAGCTTTAGCGTTATTTAAATCTGGTGCGTGTACTAAACGAAGACAACTGTGGTGTCACAGGCTTTAACCATAACCCGCTTTATCTAAATTTGGCTATTGAGCTAATTCTTGTGATGTGTTTTAGCAAACTGCCATTTTTCATGTTGTTTTTTTTTTTCCAGGTCTTATGGGTGAAATTCCCAACACAGATGCCTTCCTGCAAGAATCACTTCAGCTAAGGAACTGATTCAAGGTTTATGAGTGGACTATTTGAATAAAGATGCTTGCTTGTGAAACTCTTGCTTTCCCGTGTTCTAGACTGCTTTGCTTGTATTATTTGGGGTACGGTATATCTGCCCATTAGTTTTCAGTGCTGTTCTGCAAGGCTACACAGCATCGCTGATACATGAAACTGAATTCTGGGAAAATGTGCATTAACTTTTACATGTCTATTAAGCATCGTTCCTACATACACACTTCATCCTCCCTGTGCTCCTTTTTTTCCCTTACCACCTTTATCTCTGGTGCTAGAAAATTAGTTATTATAGACACTGAAACATGAAATGCTAGTTGCCTTCCTAGAATGTTTTTTCTTCTTAAAGGAGTACTGACACAAATTTTAATGTTTTCGAATTGTTGCGCTATATAAGAACATGGGTGTCGAGAACCCCTAAGAGAGTATTGTGGTGCCGTGGAATGCATCACATATATTCTTAATATCACTGCCTTAAAAAATACTTTCGGTTTCAACATTGAGGTGGTAGCTTCTCCAGAACTTGTCATAGCAGGGTGAAGTCATGGGAGACTGCAATTTTCCGCATACTAGCGGCAGATCTGTCATATGCTTGTGGTCCGTGGGATCGAATCACGGTTGCGGCGGCTGCATTGTCAATGAAGGCAGAAATGCTCGAAGCCCGTGTACTTAGACTTAAGTGCATGTTATAGAACCCCAGGCAGTCGCAATTCTCGAAGCCCTCCACTATGGCGTCTCATAATACTAACAAGGTTCTGGGGCATTAGACCCAATTAATTATCTGCTTATGTAGTAGTAAATGAGGAGGACATTGTGTCCAGACCCAACAGCGATTTTTGTGATTTAGGCTGTTTCACTTCACTTTTCACATTATTACCTTAAAGACTCCTTGGTAGGGGTATTACATAAAGGATGGGAATGCATTAGTATGTAGGTTGCATGAACATTACTGACAATACAAAAATAGAAGAAAAAAATACATGCACTACACATCTGCATATTACATAACTGTACACTGAACTGAACAATGCGTCCTTTTGCATGCAGGACGCATAGTTCGCCAGCTCTAGAACTGCGTTGACTTGTCGAGATAATGTCCATTGCAGTGGGGCTGGCCTGCCGATGCTTAGTCACGAAAACTTTAAAATCAAAGAAAACATTTTGTACGTGTTAGCTGTGTCCGATGTGGGGAGAGTGTTAACACTGCATACCACAGAAATGAAAAATGGCCTTTTTGCAATATCTCAAAATCATGTCAGTATACTCTCATTGTTTGACTTCTGAGTTACTATATGTCCCAAGTAGACATATTTCTTTAAAACTTGCAGTGCCTCTCTACCTATCCCAAAGTGCTGTTTTCTGCCAAGACTACAGCACATTAGTTTGTGCATATCAATTTTCAGACCTACTCTTCTGCTTTTCGTGTCCTGTTCAGTAATCATGAGCTGTAATTTGTCCCCCGAGTTACTCATCAAGGCAATGTCATCAGGGAATCGCAGATCACTAAGGTACTCTCCATTACCTCTTATTCCTAACTCTTTTCAATCTAGGGTCCCGAAAACCTCCTGTAAACAAGTGGTAAACAGCATTGGAGAAATTGTGTCTCCCTGCCTTACTCCCTTCTTTATTGGAATTCTGTTGCTTCTTTATAGAGAACTATGGTGGCTGTGGATCCACTGTAGATTTTTTCCAGTATGTTTATGTGGGGTTCTTTGATGGCCTGATTCCGTAGTGCCTGCCTTACTGCTGATGTCTTCACTGAGTCAAATGCCTTCTCGTAATCTATCAAAGTTATGTATAGGGGTTAATTGTATTTCACGCATGTCTCTATCACCTGATTGATAGTAGGAATATGGTCTATTGTTGAGTAGCCGGTACGAAATCCTGCTTGGTCCTTTGGTTGATTGACCTTTAATATCACCCTTATTCTATTAGGTAATATTTTTTGTAAATACTTTGTAGAGAATGAAGTTGATCGACTTGTAACGGCCTGTAATTTTTCAAGTCCTTGACATCACCTTTCTCATGGATTAAGATGATGTTGGTGTTCTTCTGGCACCCTTCTTGTTGAGAGACACTTCGTATGTAAGGTGGCCAGTTTTTCCAACACAATTTTTCTGCCATCTTTCAGGAGGTCCGTTACCTTATCCTCACCAGCGGCTTTGCCTCTTTGCGTACCTTCTAGGGCTTTCCTTACTTCCCCTGTCGTTAATGATATGTCGAATTCCTCTAGACAATTATTTCTCACGATATCATCCTGGTTGTTTTGGCTTCTGTATCTGTAGAACTCCTTCACTACCTCGACTATCCTATCCATATTATGACATTGCCTTCGTTGTTCCTTAATACATACATCAGATTTTTGCCTATGCACAAATTTGCCTTCGCAGCTTTTAGGCTTCTGCCACTTTTTACAGCCTGCTCAATTATTTCCATGTTATACCTTCTGACGTCGATTACCTTATGTAATATTAACTTCGAAAGCTCCACTAGCTCTATTTTGTCGGTTGCATTTGGGGCTTTTATGATTTGTCCTCTCTTGGAATTTTTAGTCTCCTGAGATAGCTTGCCAGGGTCTAGTGACCGTAACTCCGACTTTTGAAGGGGTACTGACACAAAAACTTTGGCCTCGTGTTTTCTGCTGCAATGCATTGCTGGGGGCCTGTTAGTCATGACACGACTTATTGTTTGCTGCAGCAAGTGACAGATAATTAATTACAGGCCCCTCATTATCAATCAGTTTCAGTTTGAGAGAGTTCCAAAAACTGGGTGCAACTGTCGCCACCTAGCGTGTGCAGCTCTTGACCACGTCAGCACACAGAACTGTGACGCACTCCGCACAGCCCGCATCAAGAATTACTTTCGAATAGAAAACCGGACTGGAATGTCGCCAAACACCAAACTTTCTAAGTGTGCGCAACGAACACATACTCGCAACCAGCCGCCGAGAAATATAGACTTCGAGAACTATCGCGGCAATAGAAGTATGGCAGTTATGACGTCATCATAACTTGTTTTGCTGACCGCAGTATGGTGTCGTGAAGGAAGTAGGGGGTCTCCTCGGGATCCCCTCCGAGGGTGTCTATAGCACTATGGAGTCAGTTGCTCATGCAAACTTCAAAATTAATTTAATATACCTTCCAAGCTATATTCGTTGTTGATATCTTGCAGATATACGAATGTTCACGAGGATCGACCCCGCAGGCTATCTCGGCCCCGAAATTTTGTGTCAGCACCCCTTTAATTGCACACTCTTCGATGACACAACTAGTAAGATTACCATTCATTAGGTCAACGTTAACGTCGGTTACTTTGTTTAGTGCCTCAAATATATTCTGAAGCGAAACGCTGAATTCATATACTTTCGCTCTCACTGCTAGTTCATTCATTGGATTTTTGCGTATCAGTTTTTGTCTTTGATTTTTTAAATCTAGGTGAATACGAGCTCTTTCCATTCTATGGTCACTGCATCGGATCTTGCCAACTACTTCTACATCCTGCACAATGCTTGGATGTGCTCACAGAATGAAGTCTATTTCATTTTTAGTTTTGTCATTAGGACTTTGCCACGTCCACTTACGGTTAGCCTGTTTTCTGAAGAAGGCATTCAAGATCCGTAAATTATTACGTTCTGCAAACTCTACTAATAAGCTTTGAAGGGGCCCTGCAACACTTTTTCAAGAAGCCATGGAGTGGATTGACTAAAAGAGCTTAATGCCTCATGAATTTGCCGCAGAAATTTCTAGAATCCATCCAATACAAGTGGAGTTGCAAAGATTTGTCGCACGCTACAATCGCATTCTTTTTTCTCATCGTGATAAAAGCGCTGGAAGCTAAGCAGGGAGAGACAGCATAGGCAAAGAAAATATGTCACGCGCACCTTGTGACCTTGAGCACTTTTTTACTTTCCTTTTTTTCCCTTCGAATACGCCTCTTTTTGAGAGCGATTTCATGTGCACGCGTGAACAAGTAGCAGCCTCTGTAACGATGGAGTATGCCATGTTCAAATTGGCAATTGGCTGATAAAACGGCTGCGACGGGTGATTTTCGAGCTTTTTCTTGTTGTTTGTCGAGAGAATAAAGAGCGATTTATCACCGACTTTGAGAATTTATTCTGAATTCCAGGCCACATGTTGCATGCACTATAATATTTAGTTTGCGTTTTCAGGCGCCTCTGCTTATGATCCGCAGCGTTTTCTGACCATTCTCATAAGATGTTGAAGGGCCCTTTTCAGGGAAAACACCGCTCTTAAATATATATTTTTAATTTCTCGATTGGGTTTAATCAATTTTCTGGCATTTACGTATGTTTGTGTGCTAATTTCAAGCATACAATTATTTTTCCAGTATAATGTATAGTTTCTAAAATACAAAATATTTTATGTACCTTTCTAGGAAAAAGATAGTACATCAGCATATCACAATAATCTGAAATCTTAAACTGTGTACAGTGGAACAAATGAGACTCTGCACACTAACATCAGTGAACCTTTAGCAGCCTGATTTGCAGCAACATGACATGGTTATCACAAGTCATCGCTAATAGCAGTTGCTATATAAAAAAATACGGTGTCGCTTTTCAATCCGTGGGTACTGTACATCTATTGGCTCTAATACAAATAATTATTTTCTTTTTATCTGCATAGAAAGTGATACAAGTGAACATATGCAATGTCAAATGGGCTTGGGCTTCAGAGCACTGTGTGATGGCTCGGTGGAGCTTCCACTCAGATGGGACAGTGCAGATTCAAATTTTTAAATTAATTTTTCAGTAATTAATGCATATCCTTTCACAACTCTTCACAAATTTAACCAATACCTAGAGCTATGTAAAGACGTAATATAAAAATAAGTTTCATCACAAAATTGTGTTTTGTTCCCTTGAATTCCAAGTTTTCTAAGAAACAAGAGTAATCTTTGCAGGCGCTTTTTTTTTTTCTTGAAGAGGGGAAGGGGAGGCAGGTAACACTTGATCTACTTAAATATTTGTTTCATCTACTACATTGGCAAGGCTACCACTCGATATCTTATTTGTGTCCTTTG